GGGACCCGACCGCCCCCAGACGGGCCTGCTTGGGTGCTAGAAATGCCCCTCCGGGGAAGTTGAGGTTCAGTTTGCAAGAATGAGCATGGCTGGGTTTGATGATGGCACGGCGGTCCCTCCTCTGCCATCACGGAAATCGACACAACAGCAACACCAGTGGACTTCGGGTCCAAGCGTTCAGCTCCTCTGGCGCATTCTGCAAGAGCAGAATAGAAATACAGGCAGTGGAACAAATTAACTGATAAGCGCTAGACAAATGAATGTTTATATAAAATCAGTAGCAACAATAAAGTGTTCTAAGCCGTTATTTTGTTGGAAAGCTACTGCAGCCTTCATAGGCGAACTCTCTCCTTCTAAAACCAGTAGAATAAAATAAATATTTTGGATAACGGAAAGGAGCAAGTAGGCCTCCAACAATAATGCTGTTCATTTTTGTTTTCATGTTGAATCACCCTGTGATTTGCAGCTCAGGCCACCAACGGTAATTGGCCAATTCCACACTCTTTTCTTTGGCTCAGTCCGTATGTTTTTCCTTGGCGTATTGGGCTTTGCTGTTTATGGAAATGAAGCCTTGCATTTCAGCTGTGACCCCGACAAGAGAGAGGTTAATCTTTTCTGTTACAACCAGTTCAGGCCTATAACTCCTCAGGTAATTATATTTTTTCATTGTAGAAATCCAATGTTAAGAAAATAAACTGCAAAAATTAAACCTAATTGTTCCATATAAGAAGTAGTAACTGATTGGGTTGATTATCACTTAGCTTTTTCACAGATATTTTCTTTTGAATAACCTTTTATCTGTGTTCAAATACGGAGTTGTGCTTTCTATCCTTCATAACAATAACCCTCACATTTCAGAAAGCAACTGAGCTTTTCAAATTAAAACGTAACAGTGATTTTTACCTTTATTGTCATCTAAGTGTTTATACATTCGATACCTATACAAACAGACTTGCAAAATGTTCCATTATGTGTGTGTTTTAGCTGTCTCAAGATGCTGTTGTAAATGACCTGAAAACTACATTTCTGCTACATTGTAGGTATTCTGGGCATTACAGCTGGTGATTGTACTGGTACCTGGAGCATTTTTTCACCTTTATGCTGCCTGTAAGAGCATCAAGCAGGAAGATATCCTCCAAAAGTCATTCTACAGTGGTTTTTATATCTGCTCTGTTTTCTTAAGGATTATCCTTGAAGCTGTGGCTTTTTGGCTTCAGATTCAGCTCTTTGGTGTCAAAGTGAACGCAGTCTACATGTGTGATGTAGGAGCACTTGAAAAAAAGTTTAGCCGGTGCATGGTGCCAGAGCACTTTGAAAAGACAATTTTTCTTATTGCAATGTACACATTTACTGCGATTACAGTGGTCTTGTGTGTTGCTGAAATTTTTGAGATCTCATGTAGAAGGCTGGGTTTCTTAAAAAATCAGTGATGTCAATCACTCCCAGTCATTTACCACCCTGCCCACCTGCAGTTTTATAGCAATGATTTCATGCTATAACAAAAAACATCTCCTGTTCTCTGTGCAGCGTTGCAGAAGAGAACCACACTCATGATGACTACTGCAGAGTAGTCATCTGGCACTTACTCCTCATCTAAAAACCATTATGTGAATAATCTTAGTTTCCATGTGAAGACCAAAGGAAATAAAATTTACAAGAGTAACATGTTTTCATTACTCCAGAGGAGTGCCTGTGTGTGACAAGGAGGTTATTTATAAATGCATTTTTATTCACAGCTTTTCTGAACAGAAGCAACTGGAGCTACTAAGGTTATTGACCTTCCAGGAAAAACTATCTCATATTTCTTATATGTTTTTACAACTTGTGAATTAAGCAGTAATGGTGGATAGATAATCGCTGGGAACCAGAAAGCGTTTAAACATGTTCCCAAGCCTTTATCTCAGACCCCAGGGGCAGGGACTGTGGTGACAGCCAGGTTAGGCTGTGGTGACAACATATCTATCGATATCAGCTTACTTTGCAGCCCAGCTAGTGTCATCTGCTAGCTGTGAATCTCCTTTTAAAAGTGAAAGACTAGCGCGATGCTCTGTGTGCTGACGGGAATGCCTTACCTTCATTATGTTTTGGCTTACAAGATTTTTACCAATTTTGTATGATTGCATTTTGAAGGAGTAAAGGGGCTTTATGACTTAGTTTTGCATAAGAGGCTTAAAAGTGTCAAAAGAAAATCTCAGAGAAAAGCCTTTTCTGGGTCCAGTCATGCCATGATTTCTGTGAGAGTTTTGCTTGCGTGTGACTGCAGAACTGGGCCCACAGAATTTTTTGCTGTGTGTGTCACATCTAACTTCTTATTACTCTAACTAAAGTTGCTAGAATAGCAGTTAAAAAGAAGTCTGCATACTAAAATTACTCCATGCAATAAGTGTATTTGGATAAGTTAGGTCTTTAACTTTATAGAGGTGTCGGATGTTTTCATGTGTGACAGTTTCTGCTTAAGGATTAATAGACATCTTAAACTTAGAAGTGATTTAATTCCTTGTGCTGAAGTGAGCTAAAGGGAAAACAGATTTCAGAATTGGAAAGAAAGGAAGAGGTAGTTTCCTGTATAAAATATGTACAAATAGCAATCATAAAAATTAGCTATTTCCATTTGTTTTTCTAAATCCTCAATTTCTAGGGGAAAAAAAGGGAAGGTTTCTTCCTCTTTCATCATTTTCTATGGCAACTAAATTGAACAATTTCTGTTCTGAATCTCAGTGAAACAAGAGACTCAGACTCATCACTACTTAACCGTGATCCAGGAACCAGCAAAGTCAAAAGGAATCCGACAGCATCTTTGGACACAGTTTGAGGCGTGTTACACAGAAGAGAAGAACATCTTTGCTTCTTGAATGAAGTTTAACTTACGTGAAAAAACATTCAGCATAAAAGGTTGAGATCCCTGTGACAGCATTTGGGTCCTTTCAGGAATATTTGGAAAATTCTGGAAAAATTACTACAAAATATTTTAGCACCAACTGTTAGTTAAGTAGTCCCAACCAAGGTTATAGGAGTCTTGTAATCATCACCCACAAAAGCAGTCCTCACTACTTAAATAGAATTGCTTGATTTAGATGTCTTGGATTTGATTGATCCTGGTCCATTTAAATCAAACTGGGTCACAACTGGATGTGTGATTTTTTTTAATATGCTGATCAAGAACAAGATGATAAATTTCAATACATTCACTGTATTAAAGCCTTAATGTTATGTTACTTTTTCCCTATGGAAATAAGTTATATGTTGTCTTAAATACATGTCCAATCAACACTATCAGATTTGTACAGTATTAAACTACTTATTTGATACTTGCAAGTGTTAACATGTGGAATAAGAATCACTGTGCCAAGTTCCTGTTTGCATAATATGCCACGTGCTTTGGTCAATACATGTTTAATTTTTTGTTGTATACATCAATATCCATCCAGAATTATTCTTTGCAATTTAAACTCATAATCTCAGGTAAAAAAAAAAAAAAAGATCCTTTTATTTATAAATAAAATACAAGACATATATTACTGTAATAAAGAAGAATTTCCTTCCATGTGCTAGGTACAGCCATGACCAACTGTACTTAAATCACACTTAATCAGCTGTTTGTAGAATAATAAAATCACAGCCTTGTTAGTAATTTCCCTGGTGCTTCTTGTCGTTATTCTGCTGATTTCAAAACACTTCAGAAAGGTCAGAGGAGTGCCAAAACCCTCAGTCCTCAGGGGACTTCTCTGTTACCATCAAGAAGTTTGCAGAGCCTGGTGTGGCAGGGGACTGCCTGAGGACCCCTGTGAGGGGCTCTAGGAGCTGGATTACCCACCACCACGCCCTTTCCCTTGGTGGTCAAAATCTGGAATGTATCAAAACATGTTCTTCAAAATCCGATAAAACACTGATTTTTTTTTTTTTTTAAATGCATTTCCTGTGAAATTAAAATTGTCAAATTCCTCAGTTGCATTTTTTCATTTAAAACCAAAATGTGCATTATTGCCTTTTTCAAGGTTTTCAAGGTTTTTCAAATGTTTTTCTGTGACTGACTCCATCATCAGTTTCTGGGACACACTGATGGAGATACTACGGCCACATAAAGAAACCATTTCTCCATGACTGTCAACACTTCTCTTTCCTGTATTTGCCATTTGTTTACCTGGCACTCACTGTATTCTCAAGTGTCTCTCAACTTTTTTTTTCTCCTAGTCTTCCAAACTCCCACCACTTTTATCCTCATTTACATTGTTTTCTATCAGCTTCCTTCCACCCTTACTCCTCCTGAGATTTATAACATGCCTGCATGCCTTTCTCAGTGTTGCACTGATTTTAGCTCAAATGCTTAGCAAATATTTGAGATGATCCTGAAGGGTTTTTTTGCCATTATGAAAGGAATTATATAATACACTTGGGGATTTTTTTGATTCAACTCTACTTCTTTACACAGTGAACATAAAATCCTGTCTCCCAGAACACAATAGGAAATATTTTTGTTGCTCACATCTGGGCAACATTGCAAGTGCTTCTTTGACTTTTCCGTGGTTTTCCACCATACTCTAGCCACCTCATTTTCAGCACTCAAAGCAATTCCCACCTCATGCGCTTGCAGCCAGTTTTGTCTCTATCCAGACATCATGCCCATTTCAGTTCTTGCGTAACAAAGAGCTGTAATTGTTCCCCTCCATCATCTTCAATGAAACAAACTAAATATACCTGGTAAGTGATGTGACTGCCTTTACATCAAAGGTATAGTTGCCGTGGGCCAGCCAGCTGTTAGTACACCATCACAACATCCCAGTCCTATAACCACTCCTTGTTCTGCTCCTTTCTTGGCTTCCTTTCTTCTGTTCAGCCACCATTTCTTTTCCACTCTCTTTTCAGCACTCTCCCATGATAGCAATGACACAATGCAGCCACCTCTCCTACCCTGTGCTTCACTCCAACACACATCTTTCTTTATTCTCTGGAGCACTGACGTTCTCTTGCCTTGCAGACAGCTATTTGGAGACCGGGGGAAGTCTGGCAACAGGGCCATTTAAAATAAATTTTAAAATATGTGACTATTCTTTTAGAATGGGAAGACGGTAGATGCTAGAATAATTTATACTGCAATTTGTGAGATCCATTTGAAACCATTTTGTTTCAACGGTTCCCATTTTTTTTGCTGTTCTTATCCCCTCTCGGCCAAAACAGAAATCCCTGGAGGTTCCTCCGAGAAGAACTTTATCTGGGAGCGGTGATCCTGCGAGATGTGCTTCCCAGGCGGGCGGCCTCGCTGCTGACAGCTGCCGGGAAGCGGCCCAGCCGGCTGAGGCGCTGTTAACCAGGGCAGCGGTCGCACAAGGCTGCTCTGCCAGCGGCAGCGGGAGGAAGGGCAGAGCCGGGCAGCTGAGGGGCGGTTCGGCGCTCGGGGAGCTCCCGCACCCCGGTGAGCCCCGGGGCAGCCCACGGGGAGCGCAATTCAACCTGGAAAGGAATTTTACCTCCCGCTCTGCCCGCAGGGGGAAGCTCTGCACGGCTCTTGATGGGAAGG